AAAAAAAAAAAAAAAAAAGCAAATTATCATGACAAATAATTGCTGGATGGTTACAAAACTTGAAGCTGAAGCTAAAGCAACCCCCGTTTGTTGATTCGTATGTGGCAAAACATGGCTGCTTCACCACGGGACAGTGGTGGTGGGCCCAACTGAATCTAATAATTTTTTATCCCTATTACTCACCACAACATCCTCCAAAATTGTGGACCATTTATGATCTGACCACCAACGTGGCGTGCTCCCTACACTCTCCATAAATTTAATTTAATTATTTTTTTAATTAGATGAAACATTTTTAATAATTTCAAACTTAAGATTTATAATTTATATTTCATTAAATGAATGTGTTTATTAAATTTGTAATACACTAAGGTCAATGTTTATTTCTTTTTCAAGCTTAGCCCAAAAAGTCGTATAAAATTAAAAAAATAAAATTAGACCTAAGTTGTCAACTTCCATCAAATCAAAATGTCGCCACGTCATGAAAAAGCTTAATTTCTATTTTATTTAAAAAATTATTTTCCAAAAACGTCGAATCTGAAAATAGAGTGAGCTGAGGTGGCAAATCACGTGCAGTGTGATTTAGAAGGTGACACAAGGACGTGACAAAGGGACACATGGCACAAACATAGGACGTTCTTTCAAATCCCCGACTAGGAAGGGGAGTATACCGACAAAACAGAACCAAGTTTTTATTTAAAAAAATCCTCCTCCGTACACGTGTCGACTTCCTAAGAATCATCCCACGCGCGCCAGAAAACTATTCTGCGGTAAATAAAATCCACGCGTCAACCGGGTTCTGTTTGACCGTAAACGTGTCTTTATCGAGCTCAGTGCAATGCGACACCGAGTTCCCTACACCAAACGTGGCCTTATCTGCTCATTCCTACGCCCTCGAGATTGCCGTGAATAGACTCCTCCTCTTAACCTATTATCTCACCAACATATATATTTATTTATTTTTATTTAAATATCTTTCAACTTTTAAAAAAATTTAAAATTTGGAAGTTTGTATTTAATAAATCCATTCATTTGTAGAAAGAACAAATAAACTTGATTTTAATTCCAAAAAATATATATAAAATTATATTTTGAGTAAAAGATTGGGTGAAACAAATAAAATAATTTAGGAAAGATATTTGTTTAGTTAATTTGGTTAGGAATAAGGTATGTCGAGCTTAGGTTGGCACTTGGCGACAAATTAGAGAGAGTTTAAAAGCACAGCACCTAGATTAACATTATCTAGATATGTTGACATTGACACGTTGAATTAATTAAGTTAATCTTAATATAATATATGCTTGAAAACATAGGAAATACTAAATAACTAAGCGTAACGCTAAAGTATGTATAAAGTATAAGCCACGTAGCTTTGATGTCACGTGCAACGAGCGCATCGAATAATATCCCCTTTTTAAAAAATAAAAAAAAGAAAATTACTTCCTTATTAGTGAGACAACGTTGGTGGGATAGGAAGTTCTGTTATCTTAATCACGCCCATGGACTTTTTTTAATTTAAATTTGTAAAAAATAAAATAAATAAAGGGATTTGGATTTGTTTGATAAGCGGTTGAAGTTGACGGAAAGCGAGAGATGCACGAGAAATGTTAACCTCACTCGTGATGCCTCACCTGCTTCAAGTAAATGTCCAATCAAATTCTTTGACTGTGACCTATTAAGCTATTTCGGGTAATGTTTAGGGATGTGTTTTTATCAAAGCGGGTGACTTTAATATCTTTCTACGGCTTGTCGTTGTTATTCGGATATTGCAAATCTTGTAAATTGCAAAATTTTATGCCCAAAGTATTCCCTTTTTATTTATTTATTTATTTTATATTTATCTGATACTTATTTGGGCCTCTAGACGCTGGGCCTCAATATCTATTATGATATTTGAGTTCAAATAAATAAATTAAAAAAAATTTGAAAGCCATGATTAAAGATAATCTTTATCTCTATTATGTTTTATATTCTCTAACTAATAAATTTAGCAATTTTCTTTTTAATGTTTTTCAGTTTATTAAAATTTTAAAATAAGGATTTTATTAAAAAATATATTTGATGTTACTAAATTAATTTTAAAAAGTAAAAATCTTGTGTAGACATATTTTAAAAAAAAGTAAACATTGGGTGACCGAAAGAAAATAGAGGCCCTGACTCCAAGGGATTCTCCTAGCTAATCAGTTTGACATTACACTTAATTACATAGAGAGGGACGAAGTTGCGAGACCGAGTGAAAGAAGCTAGAGAAAAATAGCTTGACCTCGTGTTTGAAGGTGAAGGAGAGGATTGAATTGACTCGACTGCAAATTCGATTTGTTTTTCACAGCTTTACCGAGTGTTTGAAGGTGAAGATCATAATTGCTTTAGAGTGAAAGAAGGGAGAGGGAAGAGGAGAACATGTTTTACCTCATCAATCAGGTTCAGAAAGAACCAAACACCTATTTACCGAGTTGACTCTGTCTTATTCCTTTGACTCTATTCTCTGACCCTCTTAATTTAGAGAGTGGATGGTCAATGAGTGGAACTAAATCAAAGGGAAAGCAGAAATTAGAAAAGTCGGTAAATTAATTGCACGACAATCGAATATTTTACGGCAGTGAATCTCATCCAACGAGTTTTACCGTTTTAGATAATTTTTATTTTTACTCTTGCATAATTTTAAATATCTAATTGAATTCCATTTCAACCACATTAATCCTTTAGATTAGGCCTAGAAAATAATGGATGAAATTCGGAGGAAGAGATTAAATAGATATAAAAAATAAAAATTTAAAAAACTATATATAAAATTGACCGACAAAAGAAAAACAACACAATAATAATGGAATTAGAAAGTGAATATTTAAACCGTTGATCCCACAAATAACCCGACAATAAGGGAAGAAATTATAGTCTAATGTGGGGTTAGGCAGAAATATGTGGTGGAGATGAACTTATAAATAAAATATCATGATCGACAAATTTTTGTCCTTAGCTACTTTAGGATAAAAGAAGTATTTAATAATAAGCTTACTGAGATGAAATAAATAATGAAATCCTCGGTGTTCGAGTCCATTAATGTAATAAAGTTCCCTTATTTCCCAAGTAGATACCAAACTTTACCTAATATTCAAACCCATCATAATGGACCATATAATAACCTTAATATTATGTTAATTTAAAATTATAAAGGAAAGTCGTAACTTTATTGATATCAATCAATGGCCCCATCAAGCTCCACGTATACAAGCTCTCCAAGATGGTGGACATTTACCAAATTACCATTGAATACATGCCACTATTAGGGGTATTTAAGACTTTTTTCATATTACATTAAGCCTTTCAGTTGTTTGAGCATAATGCTTGAACCGCCAATCTTGCAGATAAATTGGTAGCATCGCCAATTCCAAACGACTTTGCAGATACATCAATCGAACAACTTTCCATACCAATGCAAGCCCTTTCGACTAAAAGAATGCTGTTTGAAACATTCCATAAGCCTTGCGTAAATGACCCGCATTTTCCCTCGGGATTTCCGTAGCTAGCAAATTGTATTTCGGATATAATATGCCCTTCTTGACAAGACAACTCTAAGGTGCTCCCTTCGTTTGCATGTCCACATATAGTTTGAATAGTGACGGTTTGAACTGAGACTTGTTCAGGGTTTCCGCCAATTTCTTCAAATAAAATCAAGGTATTCGTGTCACCGGATAGAAACGATCTTGGAATGTGATACCATCGTTGGGAAGGATTCCCACAATTTTCAAGACATTTGCTAGGGTTATATGCACCTCTGTAGTCGCAAGTTTCACTACAACTATCATTGCTAGCGATGAAAGAAGGCCAAAATCGACCTATGCTTTGTCCATTTACCCAAGCCTGACCTTTTCCCATTCCTTGCAGATCCAATACTACTGGGTCAACTCCAGATGGGGTTTTAAAGCTTGTTTTGTACCATGTCATTCGCCTTCCAATAGAACCTTGATCAAATGGCCTCCATTTTCCTTTCGATGAGAATGTCGGGTTGTTAAGTTGCTTCATTTCTCCATTTAATCCAACCTTGTAAGACCATAGATTTGACGACAAATCAGTTGTGGCATTTCCACTTCCAATTAGATAAACAGGACCTCCATCAATTCCAGTTGGCACTGTGTCATAAAATGCATCGTAATTTTTTAGTCCAACTGTGGCACTCAAAAGGGTTATCGTGTTAGTTCCAGATTTTAACGAGATGGGTTTCTCAAGTACAAAGCTCTGACCGTTGCTCGCCCATTCCGACCCAACATACCTTTTATTTACAAAGGCATGAAGCACATGACCCTTTGTATTCACGTGAAGAGTTATATTATAAAGAGATGAAGCTTGATCGGTTTCAACATTTGTCATGTACCACAAGTAGTCGCTAAAATCAACCGTAGTTGCCTTTTGTTCCAAGAGAAGGTTTGCTTTAAATTTACCAATTCCTTGTAGAGTATCTCTCATAGGCTCAGGAGCCCAAACCCAGGAGAGTTGTGCATTTTCCTTCACATTTTGCTCCTTCACATACACAGATGTTTGAGAGTTAACCTTTGCAGTGTTGTAAACCTCCTTGTTGCAACCATCAAGAATGGTCACAGACCAAGCTGGTACAAAATATTTTCCATCTGCCTCCAAGTCTATGGTAGCATCATTGCTAGCATCTGTGTTGCACAAAAAGCAAAACCTACCCCCTGTTGTTGGGTTGGAGAATGTTGTTAAGGTCACCGAGCTACTAATATTTCGGTCCGAGCGAGTGCTGCTAGTCAGAATCTTCTCTCCAAGTTTGATTGATGCGTGAAGTTGTCTGAGATGTCCCCATTTAGGTTGATTCAAGTTTCCATATTCATCGAGGGGGGCGTCGTAATCATAAGACGTAGTGATGAATGGACCTCCCGATGTTCTTCCAAAGTTGGTACCTCCATGATACATATAATAATTGTTAAGCACGCCACCAAATTGAAAAAATTTGGCCACAGAAAATGCTACATCTTCTGCAGTTCTATGAGGGTCTTTGTCGCCCCATTTCTTGAACCATCCCACCCAATTTTCGGTGAACATTTTTGGGCTCTTCGGGTTGTTAGGAGTGAAGTTATCACAATAGAATCCGTTGCATGTATTAATCATAGGTTGTGGGGCATCGCTTTGTTGGCACATGATCCATGGAACACCAATATTGAGAGATTCAGCCATTTGAGCGCACCAATTGATATATGTTTTTCCTGCATCTCCGTACGGTGTCATCACGTTTCCATACTCATTCTCAATTTGAGCTATAATTATTGGCCCTCCTTGCGATGCAAATAGGCTAGCCGCTTTACACATATTCACTATCTTTGTCGTGAAAGTCTGCATTTCATTCTTATACACTTGATTGTTAGTTCGTAATTGGATTCCTGGCATATTGTGCAGCCACACTGGAAAACCTCCATAGTTCCACTCAGCACACACGTAAGGACCAATCCTCATCACGACATAAAGTCCAGCATCTTGAATAAGTTGAAAGAACTTGATAAAATCTAGATTTCCAGAGAAGTCATATTTTCGTCGTTGGGGCTCGTGACGATCCCAAAAAATGTATGTCTCGATTGCATCAAGTCCACCATCTTTAGCTTTTTGAATAAGATCAGGCCACATTGCATCAGTACTACGTGGATAATGAATTGAACCTGAGAAGATAATGCGTCGTTCGCCATTGATAATTAAGGCATTTGAGTCATATGTAACATTATCTGCCGTAGAAAAAGACAAACAAGCTAAAGTCCCAACAAGGGAAAGTACAAGCGATCCAATGTTGAACATCTTTAGCTTGTTTATTCGTTCGTTTATCTTAATGGATGTGTTTATATAGGAAAATATAGTGATAAGATGAGAGTTCTTTAGTATCTATATTTGTTCATAAGTTGTTGAGAGATTCTAAAAATAGAAAAAAAAAAAGAATTAATTTCTAAAAATAGAAAAAAATCCATTGAAACTTTATCTATGGCTGTTGGCCTTATCCTTAAATAGCTTATTATCCAATTAAAAATATTAAACGCAATTAACAAAAATTTAATTATTATTTGTCAAAATTACTATTAAACTTAGCTTTCTTTATTTAATTAATACATAAACTTATAACGTTACAACATTTTCACTAATATTATTTTAGAAGTTACTAAATTCAAGACAGACTAACAAATATCATGATTTTAATTAACAAAGCAGTTTAGAAGATGAATTAAAGATAAAATATATTATAAAGTTATTATTATTATTATTATTATTATTATTATGTGTAAACAACCTTAGAAACGTGGGACGGGTGGAGATATGAAATTCCTTGTACAACTGGTAGTATATGAAAGGATATGTCCGGTCATGTATATGTGTGGTTGTATATGACGGTAAATGTTGGAATGACCATAAAAGTTAAGATAGGACAATATCATGCATGTTGCTATTTCTATTTATTGATTTAAACTAAACGTATAGGTCCACGACTTCGCTTGAAATGTTTTATTTAAATTTCTCCATATGTTAAAGTTATGAATATAGTGACATCTATGGTTTAGATAAGAAAATTAGGGGCATTACAGTATACTAAGTTTTTAAATTCTATAAACCAACCGACCCAGCAGACTTACATAGTCTTTATCCATCACTGTCTATGTTTTTGATCGATTATAATAATAAATGGTTTTGTCTCCTTACATCTAAGAAGTGGTTAATGTGACTATATCACAATAAATGCAGGGAATATCGATTCCTAATTCAGATTCCAAATCTTGGGTATGAATCGTTACCGATTAATTTTTACAATCATTTAACTTTATAGATTTTTTTTTTTTTTTAATTTACTATAAAACACATATAAAATTATTAAATATAACTTCAATTTGTATTAAAATTATTATTTTTTAGCTTCATTTTGTGGGTAACTAAAGAGTGGAACATAATATACAAACCCACCATAATTGACCATATAATAATGTTAATATTATGTTAATTTAAATTATAAAGTAAAGTTGTAAGTTTATTGATATGAATCAATAGCTCCATCAATCTATACATAGACAAATAAATCTTCCAAGATGGTGAATATTTACCATTCTACCACTGAAGACATGCCACAATTAGGGGTATTTAAGACTTTTTATCCTATTATTAATTACTATAGACTTTTCATTTTCCTTACCAATGCAAGCTTTTTCCACCAGAAGAATGGTATTTACCACGTTCCATAACCCGTGTTTAAACGACTCGTACTTTCCTTCGGGATTTCCGTAGCTAGCAAATTGTATTTCAGATATAATATGCCCTCCTTGACAAGATAACTCTAAGGTACTTTGAATAGTGATGGTTTGAACCAAGACTTGTTTAGGAGTTCCGTCAATTTCTTCAAATAAAATTAACGTATTTGTGTCACCTGATAGAAACGATCTCGGAATATGATATCATCGTTGGGAAGGATTCCCACAATTTCCAACACATTTGTTGGACTCATATGCACCTATGTAGTCGCAAGTTTCACAACAATTATCGCTAGCAATGAAAGAACGGCCAATATCGACACCCAAGCCTGACCTTTTCCCATTCCTTGCTGATCCAATACTACTGGGTCAACTCCGGATGGGGTTTTAAAGTTTGTTTTGAACCATGCCATTCGCCTTCCAATAGATTTGTGTTCAAATGGCCTTCGAGGATGTGGGGTTGTAAAATTGCTTCATTTCTCCATTTAACCCAACCTTGTAAGACCATGAATTTCACGACAAGTTAGTTGTGACATTCCCACTTCTAATTAGATAACCAAGACCTCCATCAATTCTAGTTGGCACCATGTCATAAAATGCATCGTAATTTTTTAGTCCAACTGTGGCACTCAAAAGGGTTATCGTGTTCGTTCCAGATTTTAATGAGATGGGTTTCTCAAGTACAAAACTCTAACCGTTGCTCGCCCATTTCGACCCAATACGCCTTCTATTTCAAAGGCATGAAGCACATGACGTTTTGTATTCACTTGAAGAGTTACATCACGAAGCGAAGAAGACGTTTGATCGATGTCAACATTTGTCATGTACCACAAGTAGTCACTAACATCAACAGTAAATCCTTTTTGTTCCAAAAGCTGGTTTGCTTTAAATGTACCAGTTCCTAGTAGAGTATCTCTCATGTGTTCACGAGCCCAAGCCCAAGTCCACAAATACAGATGTTTGAGAGCTAACTTTTGCAGTGTTGTAAACCTCCTTGTTGCAACCATCAAGAACGGTCACAGACCAAGCCGGTACAAAATATATTCCATCTGCCTGCAAATCTATGTTAGCATCATGGCTAGCATCTGTGTTGCTCAGAAAGCAAAACCTACCCCCTGTTGTTGGGTTGGAGAATGTTGTTAAGGTCACAGAAGAGCTACTAATGTTCCGGTCCGAGCGAGTGCTGCTAGTCAGAATCTTCTCTCCAAGTTTGATTGATGCGTGAAGTTGTCTGAGATGTCCCCATTTAGGTTGATTCAAGTTTCCATATTCATCGAGGGGGGCGTCGTAATCATAAGACGTAGTGATGAATGGACCTCCCGATGTTCTTCCAAAGTTGGTACCTCCATGATACATATAATAATTGTTAAGCACGCCACCAAATTGAAAAAATTTGGCCACAGAAAATGCTACATCTTCTGCAGTTCTACGAGGGTCTTTGTCGCCTTATTTCTTGAACCATCCCACCCAATTTTCAGTAAACATTTTTGGGCTCTTCGGGTTGTTAGGAGTGAAATTATCACAATAGAATCCGTTGCATGTATTAATTATAGGTTGTGGGGCATCGCTTTGTTGGCACATGATCCACGGAACACCAATATTGAGAGATTAAGCCACTTGAGCGCACCAATTGATATATGTTTTTCGTGCATCTTCATACAGTGTCATCACGTTTCCATACTCATTCTCAATTTGAGCTATAATTATTAACCCTCCTTGAGTTGCAAAAAGGTTGGCTTGTTTACACATATTCACTATCTTTGTCGTGAAAGTTTGCATCTCATTCTTATAAACTTGATTGTTTGTTCGAAATTCAATTCTCGGCATATTGTGCAACCATACTGGAAAACCTCCATAGTTCTACTCAGCACACACGTAAGGACCAATTCTCATCAGAACATAAAGTCCCGCGTCTTGAATAAGTTGGAAGAATTTGATAAAATCTAGATTTCCGAGAAACCATATTTTTGTCGTTGAGGTTCATGATGATCCCAAAACATGTATGTCTCGATTGCATCAAGCCCACCATCTTTAGCTTTTTAAATAAGATCAAGCCACATTGAATCGGTACTACGTGGATAATGGATTGAACCTGAGAAGGTAATGCGTCGTTCGTCATTGATAATTATAGCATTTGAATCATAAGGTGACACTATTTCCCGAACAAAAAGATAAATAAGATAAAGTTACGACTAGAGAAAGAACAGCGATCCAAGATTAAATATCTTTACATTGTTTATTCGTTTGTGTTAATGAAAGTGTTTATAGGGAAATATGGTGATAAGATGAGGGTTCTTTTAGAACCTATATTTGCTCTCAAGTTGTCGAGGGATTCTAAAAATAGAAAGAAAAAAAAAGACAATTAATTTCTAAAAATAGAAAAAAAAACTGTCGAAACTTGTGTCTATGCTAATCCTTAAATAGCTTATTATCCAATTAAAAATATTAAACGTAATTAATAAAAATTTAATACGTGAGGGATAAATAGGATATAAGCTACCAACTCACTAATAAAATATATTACTTACCAATTTTAAAAAATAATAAAATATATTACTTACCAATTTTAAAAAATAAGATAAAATATACGAGAACTAATTCCACTTTTAAAAATTATTAATAATTAAATATCTTTATATCTTAAATAAAATTCCTTAATATTTATAACATTTTAAATAATATTATTAACAATATTTTAATTGATTAATCTTATAAATATGAAGATTTTAATTAATAGATGGATTAAAGAGAAAATATAGTATAAATTAAGGTAAAATACGGTAATAAACCGAAGGCTGAAGCATGGCACTTGTGTTTCGTGGATGACGATGGCAGTGGCTCAATCTTCAGATTCCCGCTATCGGACTTCAATATTGGCGAATTTCTTCGAAGAGAACGCAGAGCCAGATCGCGGCGTGCGGCGTTGAGTTGAAGATGGCTATCAAGAGATTAGGTAGAATTTGGATGAAATCGGGGAAAGATGCGGCGTCGCTTCCGTCTCGGGATGATCCGTCCTTCGACGATTTCTGTCCCATTGACAGCCAAGGTAATCGATCCTCTCTGGAGTACTTTCGGTGACGTTTTTTAATTTCTTATTCGGCGTTTGATTTACAGTGCAAGAGGAGATGGTTCGTTCGTTCGAAAGGGCAAATGATCAACAGAGTCTTCTATGGAGGGTATCGTATGATTCAGCGGATTTTTCCTAATTTTATTTTGTTCTTAAGTGGAGGATTAGGGATTCTCATGTCGATTGTTCTTCTCTGTGGATCGACTGTTCGTCAGACTGTGTTTGCGGCATTTCTTTTTTGCTTTGTGGCTTTTCTTCTTTACTCAATCGTTCAGCAGGTTTCTTCTCCATTTGAACTGGTATGCTAATATTGCTGAGATTTATCGATTTGTCCTGCGATGTATGCCGTTTTGTTGAATTCAATTGTTGTCATGAATTTATGCTCTTGGCTCCATCGTTTGCATTATACAGATGGGCGACCTTTTATGCTTATTTTTCCCCTTATGCAGCGTTATCATGCTTACTTCGTGGAGGATGTTGAATCATGGATGATTATAGCTGCAGGTTTTTCTTACAAATCTATCCATTACTTTTCTTTCAATTCATTTGTAACAGCTTACAGCTAGTGAATATTGTGCTCTTTGAATTTTTTCGGACTTCCCCTCAAGATTTTTAAAAGGTTCTGTTAGGAGAGATTTCCATGCCCTTAGAAAAAAAATGTTTATTTCTCTTATCCAACCAACGTGGATCTCACAATCTACTCCCTTTGGAGCCCAGCGTCCTTATTGGCACACCGCCTAGTGTTAGGCTCCGATACCATTTGTAACAATTCAAGCCCACCGCAAATATCATAGAAGAGAATTTTATTTTTGATGTTATATATGCTTTCACGCCATGGGATCTTGCTAATGTCAACAGTTGAAATTCTACAGATTGGGTTGCTATTTTAGCGTGTTCATTTTCGATCATTGGGATTGTAAGTAAGTCAAATTACCACCGGCGATGGCTTTGGTGCTCATTTTTTATCAGCATCCTACTCTCAGTTTTCTGGTTATATTTCATGATGAGGTATGGTAAGAAATTTCATAATCTTTTTATCAAAGTCTTGCTACTAAATGAAAGATTATAGGATATGACTTTTGAATCCGCAATTAAAATCTCTCTATTTTCTTCGTTTGTTGTTGGATGCTAAATGGTCTGTTTTGATTGTTATGCCCATTTTCATATAGGAGCAGTGCATTGTGGAGATTTCATGTTCAGTTCATATATGCTAAAATATTTAAGAACATAGCTATGTATAGGTTAGATTACAAATTTAGTTTTTGAAATTTGAGATTTATGGTTTTAACTTCAACATTTAAAGATCTTTTCGACCTTAGATTACAAATTTGTTTTTGAAATTTGAGATTTCTAGTCCTCTTAAACGTTTAAGGATCTTTTGAACCTTAGATTACAAAACCTTATATTACAAATTTAGTTTTTGAAATTTGAGATTTCTGATTCTCTTAACTTTAAAGATTTTTTGAATCTCAACGAAGTTCTACAATCTTTTGAACCTCAACGTCGAAGTTCTACAGGGAGCTTTTCACTAAAGATGGAAATTTGTTTCAAGGATCTATTGGAGACTTGAGAGACCAAACAAATACAAACATTCATGCTTATGGACTAAACTTATTATTTAAACTATTCAATCAGAGCCCTAAAAGAGCCCATTTCCTCTTCAGATATGTTTCTATATAATGCTTCATTCTTTGAATTTACAGTTTGGAATGTATGTTGTATTTTGATTATGCAGATTGCCTAGGTTTCGATGGGATGTTATTTGGCGACCCTTTGGTCCTCTCAGGTAGTTTCTGGACATCATAATATGATTATCTCACCTTGAATATCCACTTTGGGATTCATACGCTTCCGTTTAATGCAGTGTGGCTGGAATCTGTTTGTATGTTGATCATCTGCTGGCCGAATCGTCCGAGGAAATAAGAAAACTTAGAGGTTATATGTATGCTTATAAAGCTACCTGAAAATTGCATGAACCTCGTATAATTCATGCATTTCCTTCCCTGAAGAAACTACATCTGGAGTTCATTTTTTGACCCGAACAAGCTCGAGTTTTATAATGATTTAACCAAGGTTCTTCCTTAAAAGAAAAGCATGTTCAAAGTAAATGATTTAACCATTGCAAAAGAAAAGCTGATTCCGCTAGGATTCGAAGTAAAATAAAGAAATGTACCGAAGGGTGGGACAATGAAGAACTCTGATTTAAACAAGTCTTTCACCAAAAATGTTGCCAAAAGTTGGAAATAACTGATAAAAAGGCAAATGGGAATGTGAGATCAATCTTCTTCATCGATGACCTTAGTGCCCAATCCTTTCAAACCTTCTGCTGGGATTTCTGAAACGGTAACAAGCGAATACAGTTCTTCCTTTGCATCTTCATCGTCGTTCCTCTTGCGTGCAATACGAACTCTAATTCTCCTTGGAACACTTCGAATTCCTCTGCTCCAGATATGCTTGTTCAGTTTCACGTCCACCCTGACGTCCTTCGTTCCCATTGCTTTCTCTGCAAACTTCCTTATCTCCTTGATGGCCTTAGGAGCCTTCTTCTTGAAGGTGCTGTCATTTAAAGTTTCAGTAAGCATGAGAACTATATAGTTTGTTGTAGACGAATTCGGGATTCAAATTGGATGCGAAAGGGGAAAACAATTGGAATTAGACTACTGATACAATGAAGGGGGAAACAAAAAACATCCAAACACAAAAAATACTAGACTATAAATTACAAATGAAAAGTTGCATAGAGACATAGAAGAAACAGCACATAAACCATCCACCAGACCGCTAGTCCAATATTTCACACTGCATAACAAACTTTCCATATTTCGTCTTCTTAGTAGTTCAATTGACCTTCTGCCTTATAAACTTGCATAAAAATTCTCCAAAACCTTGCTTTCATTATTCTTATTAATCTCGTCTACATCTTCAATACCCAAAACAGACATTATACTCTACCAGGGAAATCTACATTTCTCAGATCAGCTGATACGTGTTCTTAATGAAATTCCACGATGAAATTTATCCTTTATCCCCTAACTCTTATCTTATACAAGCTTCACAATCAACATAGTCTTGATATATGTATACAAATACACCACGTTAACTTACCACGCCAAGTAATCTTATAATTTAATTGACGAGAAACAAAAAAAAATAGGTCTCATAACGAAGAAATTAGTTTCAAAACATAAGAAATTGAAAATCTCTAGCCATAGATATTGGACGTACATCAAACAGTAGCTTAATAAATTAATTGAGCGGGAGATGGCATCAGTTAATATCGATGAATGAGATAAAATACGCAATCAAACGGAATGGAAACCAGAAGGAAAATTATGAACGAGTTTGTACCAGCCATGCAAACGCTTGTGTAGATTGATGGTGTACTCTCTTGATACCACCTCTTCCTTCCTCCCCTTCGTTTTCTCAACCATATCTGCAGTCGCCTTCTTCGATTTTACCTGCAATCAAACGATGTCAGATGAAATCAATCTCAATCCGTTCGAGCAAAGAAATCGAAGCTTCAAACAAACTGGAGATGCAGATCGAGAGAGACCTTGCTAGGGTTGAAGCGATGCAGAAGGCGAGAGTAAAGGTGAAAGGGTACAATAAAAATGGTACTCAAAACCCTAATTTCGGCGTCGTACCAATTTATCAACGTGTTATCCACCATTGGGCTTGGTAGTGGTTGCGGCCCAGATGTTCTTTTAAGCCCAAACTCCATAATAATTTAGGCTATTTTCTTTTTAAAAAATACGTTTTTTAATTTTTATCTAAATTTAAAAAACTAAAATAAATATATTTAGATTTAAAACCTTAAATTTTGATACAATCAATTAAAATAAAAATCATATTATATATATATATATATATATATATATATATTTTAAAAATAATAACCTTGCATTAGTTTCTTAGTGGGCTGAGTATTGGGCTTAGACGAAGCCTATTTGAAATGAAGCCCATTTGAAACGAAGCCCATTTTAAAGCCTGCGTAAGGACCAATTTTCAGGAACATTTGGATAAGACAAATCAGGAACTTTTGATCTTCAAACTTTCATCGTTGCTGGTTCTGAATCCCTCCATTGCTTCCATACAACGAAATGATTGTCTTGCAATTATCCGACGGTATTCTCACGCCGCGTCATCTTCCGATCGACGCTAAAATTTCCCGCCGAGCCAACCATGTCCTTACTCCATCATCGGTCTGTAAAGTTCGCCCCCGGAATCATTTTCCTAGGCTTGAGCAGCGCCAATGCGTGACCAAATCTAGCCGCGACCAAAAATCGGAAACTCAGAATATCCCGTCCAGTGAAATCGAAGTGGTGGATGAAGAAGACGGAGATTATGATGCAGACGATGGATTTTTTAGTGCGAGTGGGTTTAGAGGAAGAGAAGGGGAAAAGGACTACGATCGAGACCCTGAGTTCGCTGAAATTATCGGAACTAGTGTTGATGATCCAGAGAAATTTCGGTCCAAAGTAAAGCTCTCTTATCTCTTCCTTGTAGTCGCCTTTTCTATGTTATTTGAACATATTGCATTCACTTGAACTATTAAGTGGACATTTTCGACTTAAACTTCTCGATGCTGCTTAATGGCAATCATTCTTTTTGAGTCATTCATTTATGTTCTAGGGTTCGTATAGGAGTGCAAATATGATGATCTAAGATGAAATATGAAGATGAACACGCGCGTCAGTATTCATTAGAAGCGTTTTCGTTTTCAGCTTTCTGTGTTTAAATTGTAGATGGAAGAGAGGCTGAGGAAGAAAAGGAACAAGATATTGCAGCCAAAAACGGGATCAGCCGTTCCAGTAAAAGTTACATTCAACAAGTAAGCTAAATTCTACGACGTGTAGTCCATGGATGAATGCATGTGATTATGCCTGAGGCAGTGAAACAGAGTACCCTAATGTTGAACTATCTAATCTATAACTTATGAGAACTTTTGGTTGAATGTTTTTTATGGTAGCATGATTCGATTACATATATATTATCTCCTTTAGTCTTGAATTGGACATGATTTGTCGATGTTTCTTCTAGATTCGATTTCTCGAACTCATATATATGGTTTGAATTCTACAACACTCCATTGGCCAAAGATATCACCTTAATTTGTGATGTAAGTTCTTGTTTCTTTTATGTTAGCTTTTGCCTAAAAGAACTTGAGTGAATTAGATTTATTATCTTTGTTCATAGACCATTAGGTCATGGCACATCATTGGACGTCTTGGTGGATGCAATTCCATGAATATGCAGGTAAACTTCAATATCTCACCCAACATTTATGTTCTTTAGCTATGCCCTGTCCAAGTTGTTAAAGGGTTTGCATGATTTTACTTGGAAATGAATCACATTAGTCATCGTTGCTCATTTTAGTTCATCTCCTCAGCTTTCTCAATCTCCATTGGATAAACGGCCAAGTTATGACTCTATTCAGGGAGCCAATGTTACTCCAACCACATTTTATAACATTGGGGATTTTGAGGTTCAGGACAACTTGGCTCGCATATGGTAATAGCTCTTAGTCTAATTTCCTTGATGTCATCAAGATCTACTGTTCATATTAATATGACACGGGTGTGTTCATATTATCTTTCTCATTGATCTACTTAATTTTATGCACAGGGTTGATATCGGGACGAGCGAGCCATTGATTCTAGATATTTTGATAAATGCATTAACCCAGATTAGTTCTGAGTAAGTTCCTACTACACTTTCTTACTAATGTTTTCTTTCCCAAATTTAGTTTCCAAATATGAACACTTTTGCTCTTCCTATTATCTGCTGCCTGTAAAGTGTGCAATAGAATCACTGGATTTTCACTCTCTTACACAAATCAGTTGTTTTTGGGTTTGGGTTTTGCATTTCTTCTTCTCATATGAGCTCTTTATGGGTATTGGTTTACTAATTGCTGATATACTTTTATGGCCCTCCAAAATGCTCACAAATCAGCTACGTTGGAATCAAACAATTGGTATTTGGTGGATCAGAGTTTGAGAATTGGAAAGAGAATTTGACATCAGAAGATGCAGGTTACAGCACTCACAAAATATAGTTTACTTCCTAACCCCATCTTAAGAATGCCTCCATTGCTTCTCTAGCAATATGGGAAGAACGAAACCTTCCAAGTTTTTCAGCTGCAAGGATGCCAATGCTTCACCTCATTGTCTGCCAGTCTCTAGGAGATTAGTAATGAAAGAGAAGAAGTCACACAAAATTTGTCTATTGGCTCATCATTTGTTCCAGCAAATCATTCATGGGAAAGAGCAGGTTATGCTTGTTCACCTAATTTTCTCGATGATTTGCCTACAAATCTCATGTTCTAATAGTGATTTCTTGAAGTTGAGTTCACATCATCTCTATGATTTATATATATATATATGTATGATGATTTGATAGGAAACAGGAGACTCTAATAAGATCGAATGGTAGAGATTTTTATTCTATTCTTATTTTATTTTATTTTTTGGGAGAAGTAACAATAAACCAAATGATGATAATTTGATTTTTTTTTTTTATTATTATTATTATTTTATATATAGCTCTCTAAATGCTCATGAGTCTTGTCTAAATGATGATGAAGATTAACAAGTCCTGTGCTACAAAAATTCTGTCGGATTAAATTTAACAGTGAATACGTTCAAAGATGAAAGTAAGAGAGGGTATGAACTCAATAGGAAGCAAAGTCTGCAGGAGATTTTAAAGAAAGCAACAGCATCGTCGTTATCCATCCAAGTTACCCTGGATACATGAATTATTAATAAGTAAACTCATTCCTCTCACCAAATACTAAGTTTCCAGAACAATGTTTGAAGGAAAACAACAAAATTTCATGCAGAATTCATGTCATTCGAATGGTACAAACCACAATGTCGCAGGAAATCAAACTTACGGATGATCTAAGTGGGGCATGTTTTCCCAAAGGAAAACAACCTCAGACATAGTATCCGGTGAAAGTAAAACCCCTTCCCACAATTTCACCAGCGCAAAACCATGCAAAGCACTCCAGACCAAATAGAGCAGCAATACCAGCATCTTCCACCCTCATCTCTTGTCTGTTCTTCCACAATTGTTTTACGTAATCAAGTTCCTTATGGAACGATTCGTATCGGCCTGGAATACTGTATCGATAAGATGCATGTCAAATGATATTCTTTTCGCCTCATGTTCCACACAAAGAACTCTAAATGTTATCCTATACATAAAGTAAATCTAGGAACAATACTACATGTAATTACAAGTCTTGAAAGACATGGATTTTGCAGTTTAGAGTCAGCACTGCCGTCACATTTCCTACAAACCATTTCTTAAATATTTTTAGGATCAATTTACTTATTTTTTTCTCTACAACAGTTGACACAAACTCATAATGATCGCAGCACCATGGTACCACACAACATTTATATTCATAAAAGGTAAATTAAATTAATTGTTTAAAAAAGGACTCAACAAGCCAAAAACTACATTGATGAAAGGCTGTAGAGGAGGCTTATATTCACCTAGTCACATGGATTAGAAGAATGATATCATATATTGTGAAGAAAAAGGTAAGATTGAAAAACAAGTAGAAAAACATGTATTGACAAAATGAAACTAGAAAACACAAATGACTAAGCACAATATTTCACCAACAGATCTTGGGCTTGCATTATTATAGGAAGAATGGGTACTCTTTCCTAATTCCAAAAAGATGCAAAACACCAAGATAAAGAGAGTGTAGAAACTATGACCTGGCAAGACGAGTGTAAAGTAATTGCTTAGAAAGCAGGTTGCATTTCTCCACTGTAGGCGGCTCCTGAATAAATTGCTTGTTTTGTTCCAATAATTGCTTGTAGTAGGAACACCCATGCTTTAACACAAATTGTGATGCTTGAGTGGCCTTGGACTGTAACTGAGTCAGCTTGGATGCCATTAGTTTAAAGTCTTATGCCCTGAAAAGCAGCATACAAAAAATATGAGATGTTGTAACAACTGAGGAAGTTAAGAACATGAAAATGATGCTTAAAGAAAAATCTTATTAACTAAATCAGGATATTACTTTATAAATTTACAAATTTTTTAATCCCCAACAAAACTCATCAAGCCCTCAAAAAATCCATACTCTGAAACTAAGACTATCATTTGACATTTAGCATCATAACATTTTGTCTTGAGCCTATGACCACATGGTCAACATGTCCTTCCCAGGTTTTGGTCTCTAGAAAATCAAACGTAAAAACTAAAGATTCTCTACGAAATGACTAACCACAAACATTAACTTAGATGAGTTATCATGAATCTTTTAGACAGTGTCTCCTGCCTGAAGTACTAAGAAGCTTTGACACCATAGTTTCAACATCACCAAAGTGGGAACTTAACTAGCAAGAAATGGTCCTGAATTACTGACAAACTATTCTGGGAAGGAATGCAAATTTGATTTCGGATATACATCAAAGATCAATAAGTAGTAGCTTAAACACAGTGTTAGCAAAGATTTGAGAACTCTCTATCTGTCTCTCTCAACTTACAAACCATACAGGATGCAGAAAAAAACTCAACTTCTATCATACTTTATAAAATTTCCAGTAAAACTGATGTACAAGAACAGATCAAATTTACAGTTGAAGGTAAGGTAAGAATAGGACTTGAGGCTAAACTAATCATTACTCGGACAAGAATAGAAGCGCCTCTACTCATTCTTTCACTTCATATATATGGAAGAGACTGTGAGAGTCGCGTAAAATTACTGCACTTGACTATACTTCCTGATGACGCCTACAATAGAACCGGAATCCTCGCAACACAGACGCCATATTCCGGCGTGATGTGCCAACTCCGTCGCGGCATTAAACAATCCAAATCGCCACAAATTATTAAGAATTTTCAACATAGAAACAAAAACCTAGTATTCGATGCAATCTTATAAAAAAAAAGCACCCTACGACGGTTCCGTAATTACTAAACCCTGAAAATCGAGACAACAAAGCCACGATTCAAAATTCAACATGTCAATTCAAATATCTAACAATTACAAAACCGAAAGAGTACATCAGCAAACAAGGAATTGCGATCTGATGAAAAAAAATAGTAAAAAACAAGAAAACAATGTTCTTTAAAAGAAATCAACACTCTAGTGAAATCACAAAACCAACAAATACAAACTTGATAGAAAAAGGAGAAGGGGACTGTCAGAACTTTACCTTTGAATAAGTGATTGAGAAATGCAAAATCAAAAACGAAGAAGAAATTTAAATAGGCGACGGGATTGAATGGAATTGTTCGCCGATTCTTCTTCTAGTTCTAGCTTGTACTATGCCGCGGCGAGCTATGTGTGAGTTCGTGAATGAGAAAATAAAAAATGATAACAGAACGCGGCAGGGGCCGTTTCGAGATTTCCTCCTTTCTCATCGACCAACATTATCAAATTTCGATAAATAAATAAATCTATATATATATATACATAAGTATATTGGTAAAAATATTTTATTTTAGAAATTATTACAGAAAATTAAATATTCAAGGATATAAATATTTAAAATAGGATTAATTTAAAGATGATTAAAAAAAATAGTTTTAAGGTGATTTAATATTATGAACCGATTATTTTCTATTAATACCTAATGCAAAATAGTGTCCCAAAAAAAGGATACGCGATATTGGGCTGGGCTTTACTGGACCTGACGTTCGTACATTAGTTGGGCTGGGCTTTACTGGACCTGACGTTCGTACATTAGTTGGGCTGGGCTTTACTGGACCTGACGTCCGTACATTAGTTGGGCTGGACTTTACTGGACCTGACGTCCGTACATTAGTTGGGCTGTGCTTTTACTGGGCCTGATGTCCGTACATTAGTTGGGCTGTGCTTTTACTGGGCCTGACGTTCGTACATTAGTTGGGCCTAACCCAGCTAATGATCCAGTGAATTTGCATTTGTTGGGCTGTGTCTGAAATTTGCGTGCCCGATTGTTGGATCTAGGGTCAAGAAGAATGACTGTAATAATTAAAATTCGACTAAATAATATGATTTTTGGGAAAATTATTAAACATATATATTTTTAATAGAATTTATTATTCATACTGTGACGAAATACCCACAACTAAGATTCTACTAATATTTTCTAACTAACCAATGGATATAAATAAGCAATATAAATACTAAAAGACAAATTAACAAATACAAATAAATTGTGCTAAATTATAATAATGAATAAAAATCTATAAAGGAACCAAATAAATATAAACACACATTATCTCCTGAAAATTGAAATAAGAAAACATGAATTGTAACATACCGGTATGTTGTAGTCAACCTCATTATTGGGCCCCGCTTGGCCCTATAAACTCGGTCTAATCCCCAAGTTCAACAAGCTTGAGGCATTGTATGGACTTGGATTCAACCGACCTAAGCTTTAATAGTTAAGTCCATGATCCTACCTTAGGCTTGGCTAATTGGATCAAAGTTCGAGTCAAACTTGAATACTGTCTATTGAATTAGATCATTGAATATCAATTATATATGTATATTCAGACAATAATATATTTATTGGCCTAGCTCAACAAGCGAATCTCACATGATCCAGGTCCATCCATGGGAATATTTGATCTTTAAAATTGGGATAAATATTATATTAAACGAATAAATAAGCCGAACTATGATCAAATAGCCGAATTTAAATGAAATTTAAATTTGGTTTGAATCTATGATGGGGCTAACGTCCTCCCCATGCCTAGGCATACTTGTAGTTTTCATGCCATCCCATTGGCTCATTTAATGAGAAGCATGAGCATGTTGACATTAAATTCGAAGCATTGGGAAGTGAGCCTGAAGTAATAATTATACAAAACAGCAAAAGAAAAAAGAAGAGTGAGTTTCCGAGGAGGTACATACAAAATAGAAACTTGCAATTCAATTCCCAAGGTTTTGGAACAGCTACCCCTCAGGCCTCATGGAGCGTGTGAGGCCGAAGCATGGGGAGGACTACCAAACAGTTGTCAATCTTATAAAAAAAAAAAAAAAAAAAAAAAAAAAAAAAAAAAAAAAAAAAAAAAAAAAAAAAAAAAAAAAAAAAAAAAAAAAAAAAAAAAAATCATGGCTCACAAAGTCACCCTACTGAGCTGCCTTTACACTCATTCTAATATGTAAAAGAATCCCACTGCTTTCCGACTCATGCTCATTTATAAGTAATACATCTCTATGTGTACGAGGTTGTTTTGAGAAACTCAAAGTTGTAAGAGACATTAGAACTTATACTCAGAGTATATATTATCATACCATTTTCACACTAACAACATATACCATTTTCACACTAACAACATATACAGTTTTGTGTTTTGGTCAAGTGGTGATTTAAACAAATCATTGTAGTAAGGATCTTCTTTGTGGATGTTGAAAAACTTTATAAATATATTTTAGTTTATGAATAAAAATATCTTAAGATGTGAATTCAACTTCTAAGTTTGAACCATCTCATAAAAAGAATCACGAATCGAAGAGCATAAACCAATTCCACCAAGGTAAAAATCATAATAGTTTGAAATGTTCTAACCAGATTTTTGTTGTCACTCTGAGAGTATGTGTGTTGGGCAGTAAGATTTGAGCATGTGAGCTGGATATTTCCCCCCAGTTTTACACCATTACAGCAGCCAGAGAAGATAGTGCCAAGTTGCCACTTTAATATATGAAAATGGGACATAGCAGAAGAAACCCAATTTGCATATCGTGCATGGAAATTGCCAAAACTCTGCAAAAAATTACAAACAGAATAATAATTAATGAAATGTGAAGGAAGAGGACACTAACATGCTTCTCCTCTCTCTACTTGTATATATATATATATATTCACTCGTGTTATTGCATGCAGTCTACACAAGAATATCCTTTCATTTTCTTTTTTGTGAAGAAAGAAAAGCAGAGCAGACAATCAATCAATCATGTAGTTGGTTGGAGTTACGAGACCCTTCTCTGATACACAAAAACAAAAACAAAAACAAAAAAACAAAACCCCATTTTCATGAGTCCCAATGCACGAGCTCATAGTCTCTGTTGGCAAACGCCAAGCCAGCCTGGCTGGTTTGGCTGGAAAACAAAATGGGATACAAAATCAAATCATATACAATATAATCTATCATTATTGGCTTAAAGGCTTGACTCATCCCCCTTTCGGTTTGCCTGTGGTGTGGAGCTTCATGGATCACACAATTGTTTAATTTGATTATTAAGCATCACAGTCATAATTTAGGAGTCCTAATCATTGATACACTTCATCACAAACAATACATTTTTTTTTCTCAAATGGAAAGAAGTTCTCTAGTTGTCAGCCAAACAACAAATTTCATGAAATAAATATTCCATTTTAATATCTTTGAAGTGTTGGATAGGTTTTTTTAACAAATGGGTGTTTATAAGTTCCTTCACAGCTCTGTAACAGGTAAGAATAAATATTAAAGGGAAACAAACAAGAAAATAGAAGCTGACTGACTGAAAATGAAAGATGACAAAACGGAGGTGGAGGTAAAAAGTAATCTGAAAATCAACTAAATTTTAAATTGACTCTGTTTTTTCCAAACTAAGAATTGGTTTAAATGACTTTCAAATGTTCTTTTACATGTTTTTCATTCACAATCATTTGGTTACAGTCTAGTAAATAAAACTCCCAACCAAGAAGCAAATATTTTTCATTCATAACCACTTGTCTTGCTAGTGATTGCATGGATTTTTGGCTAAAAAATAATATGAACCAGCTCAATCATACGCCTGATTAATAAATCGAAGAGACAAGATCAATATAATAGAACAAAATTTGAATTTTTTAAAAAAATTACAACGTTCAAAACCCTGTAAAATATTAGATAAAGGCATTTGTTCCACAGAGTAATACCAAAACGCAAGGACCTGGCAGATGTTTGCTAAAATTATATAACAAAAGATGACAATGGGGAGAAACCCAATGCAGGCAATGCCCAGAAAACAATGAATAAAAATGGGAAAAAGAATAAGAAAACATAATGGGCACAGAATCAAAAGGACGGTGATGAACCAAACAGCTAAGTAAGCAAGGAATTGGGCAAGCAGCATTGAAGTAGGGGATGGAGAAGGGACGTGACAGATGAAACAAAGCATATCAAAATAAAATAAAAGAGAATAAGACATTATTGGTGGTCAAATTGGTATGCCAAATGGCGGTGGATCGCAATGTAGTGCCTCACAGGCATTTCATCAAACAGGTTGTAGGCAGAAACGAAGGATGAGATTATAAATGCTAAGAGAGGAAAGAGGCCCCAGAAGAAAATGGATATCTTACCAACAATTCATTAAAGATGGAGATTGAAGAAAATGGGAAAGTTTTATTTAGATTTGGAAGTGTAAAAGGACAAAGATTGCGGTGTTTCTTTTCTGCGAAAACTCCATGGACTTGTCTTGGCTCTGGGGATCCTCTGTTTGGTTTATGAAAACGTGTTCGTACAAACACTCCGCTCGCTTAACACGTACGCAGTGGGGACTTATGGCCGTTGAACGCTATTAATATAATCCCTACCGCCACCACCCTCCTCCTCCTTTTTTAATTTCTTATCCTCTAAAATTTAATTTGTAATAATTTTCTCTTTATATTTCATATTTATAATAATTTAAATTTATAAACTTTTCTACCTATTAAAATTTTATACAAAATTATTTAGATATAAATATTAACTTCAAATAGCAAAATTAATTGAAAAAATAATGGAAAGAGGAGGAACTATAATAAATTCATCTATCAAAATTTACCATTTAATTAAATCTAAATAATGATAAAATTTTAAAGTAACAACAATTATATAATTAATAATTTCAAAAATAGTCAAATTTATTTTCGTACAAAATTTTATTTTATTTAAATTAACGAATTAACGAATATTTTATACTTTATTTTTGTTAAAAATTATCGTAAATTAGCGGAAATTGAACAGAATATAAAAATTGAAATAATTATTTAAGTTTTGGTATAATACCATTCTAAACTAAACATTAATTTAAATTAAAAAAATGCTATTTCAATTGTGTAAAAAAAATTAAAAATAAAAAACAAATACATCAAAAAGTACAAAAGCATTATATATATAATAATTTGTAAAAGAAAAAAGAAAAAAAAAAACCTATTCACATTTACTTAATATTTTTATAATAATATTTTGATTTAACATATTTATAAATTGAGCTGAACATAACCAAACTTAATTCAATATTTAATTTTTCTTTTTCATTTTTTAAATAATATTATGGAAAATTAGATTAAATAAAATCTTGCTAGGTTCAAATTTGAATCTAAGATTTCATTTTATTTCTTATAATCCAATTAGAAAACAAAATCACATGTAGGTATTTTTTTTTTAAAAATTATTTAATTTATATAAAATGAATATAACAAAATCAAGGTATAATATGTGAAATATTCCATAATGATAATGATAATAAAACCAAATAATAATAAATAAAAAAAAAGAACCAAATGGGAGAAAGGAAGGAACTTTGCTGTTGATTAGGGAAACATTAGAAGCGAGATTTTCAATTGTTAATTTGAGGTTGCTGCCAATGTCCACAACATTAGAAGTTGTCATTTTTTTACTTGTTCCAAAAATGAGCTGTTTTTTTTTTTTTTTTTTTTTTTTTTTTTTTTTTTCAAAACCAAGAACAAAAAGAACAATTAATAAATTTTAAATAAAATGTTTTGCAAATCTTAATGTTGTCATCTAGATATTCTCTTATTATATATAGTTTTTTAAATATGTGTGAAATAATCACGTATAGCGTTTTTGGTCACATTGATACCAGGTCAAAGCATCATTAATATCTAAACTTTGATTAACACATTCTTAAATCTTTATCCCGACATATATTACTTGAAATAGAAAAACAAAGCTGAAAGTCGCTACCTTCACCATCAACCTGACTCAATAATAGCAATTTTAAGATGCATGTGAGTGAGAACAAAACATGTTAGAAGAATTAGTAAGTAACGTAAACACGTCGTTGAAGAACATTGTGGCCATTAGGTGTCAAATCTAGATTCTAAACCCTGATCGAAATACTGGGTATTGATCGTATTAGTAAATGTTGTGATAAATGGAATCAAATTTATGCTTCAATAGTTAGATTTAGAGCGGTTCGACCCACGCAAGATCTTTGCTATTATGACTATAATGATTCTAATCGCACTCGAACGACACCGATTCATAATAATAAATATATATATTTGTAAAGCCAAAAGAGAAGTCGTTTTCATTTGTTGAGTTCCAATTTCTGGGATGTTTCTATCCAAGTAGTTCTTATTCCAAAGTTGAATCCAACTCATAATTATGCTTGTGACTTTAACTACTCCTTTATGAACTCATTAATCAACTATTCAAATTAATAAATAAATAAATCACTTAAAAAGTTTATTTCGTGACCTACTTCGATTCGAAACCTCATCAAGATGTGTTCACATTCTTCGTTAGGTCAAAATGATCTTAAAACATCCAACGATGACTTCAGCATTTATTGAATTTTATCAAATACATAAATCGTTTATTCCAAGTATCGTGCGAATAGAAAACTTTGATATCCAACTAATGTTTCATAACGTTATCTCGAATCTCACGAGTTCATCGACTTTTACTATTTCCTTCGACACCCATCCCACACATCAACATCTATATACCCGCTCGTGTCTATGTTGGAGACTAGCCCTAGATCAACAATCTCAGGCTTGCCTTCTCTTTTATTTTCTTCGACCGAGATTTAAAAACTTTATATATATATAAAATAAAAAAAAATAGCTCATTATAAATACATAATTGTATATCTAATGGGTCCATATAATAATATGAGTCATCAATTTGTTATAATTAATTAAAAAACAATTTATATGGAATATAATATAACATTTTTTTAATTATAATTAATTTATAATCCCAAAAAGTTAGAACACAGATTAAGCCAAGTTTATGACATAATTAAGGTCACTAATAATAGAGACAGTTAGAGCAAAGGTCAAACATCCACTTTATTCACTCTCTCTCAATCATATAGAAGGATTGAATTAAATCACTCATTACAAAATCCCCAATCTTATAATAATTAATAATCTTCTACATCGCATGCACATGGATCTTCATGATCTCCAAGCCCCACGTCGTTGATTTTCCATAAACCCTATATATTCCACTAATCATTTATATTTAATTTTTAATTCTTTTTTCTCTTTCTCTCTCTACACCAACTTTCAAACTCCATATTTCATCAATTCTTCAATCTTTAGAACACAATCTTGACAAGTATCTTTATCTCCTACATGGGAGGGAGCATAAGCTTAGCTTAACATTCTCTACAATGAGATGATTAAGGAATGTTAAGCAAGATTTAGAGAGGGATTAAGTAACCGTCTAAGCTCATCGCTATTAGATATTGTCTGTTTTAACCTATTACATAACGCATCGTCTAGTGTTTGACTTTGCTACCATTTGTGTAATACCTTAAGACCGCTCATCACTAGTAGATATTGTCCGTTTTATTCGTAACGTATCGTATCGTTCGGTGTATGAGTTTCATGTCATTTGTAGCAGTTTAAGCCTACTGCTAGTAGATATTGTTCGTTTTTGCTCGTTACGTATCGCACCATATGATGTCTGGTTCTAATACCATTTGTAACAGCTCAAACCCACCACTAGTAGATATTGTTTGTTTTGGTCTGTAATGTATCACGTCGTCCGGTGTCTGACTCTGATACCATTTGTAACACCTCAAGCCCACCGCTAGTACATATTGCCCGTTTTTTACCCTTACGTATCGCATTGTCTAGTGTCTGACTTTGATATCATTTGTAACAGTCCAAGCTCACCGCTAGTAAATATTGTCTGTTTTGACCCGTTATGTATCACACCATTTGTATATAGCTCTAATAACATTTGTAATAACCCAAGTCAACTGCTAGTAGATATTATATATTTTGGACTGTAACGTATCACACCGTCCAGTGTTTGACTCTGATACCATTTGTAATAGCTCAAGTCCACCGCTAGTAAATATTGTTGGCCCGTTACGTATCACATTGTCTAGTGTCTAACTTTGATACCATTTGTAACAGTCCGAGCTCACCGCTAGTAGATATTATCCGTTTTGGTCCGTCACACATCTCACCGTCCGTTGTTTGGCTCTAATATCATTTGTAACAGTTCAAGCCCACCACTAGCATATATTGTTCGTTTTAGCTCGTTACGTAACACACCATATAATGTCTGGCTCTAATACCATTTGTAACAGCCCAAATCCATCATTAGTAGATATTGTATGTCTTGGCCGGTAACATATCACACCGTCTAGTGTTTGACTCTGATACCATTTGTAACAGCTTAAGCTCACAGCTAGTAGATATTGTCCATGTTGACCCATTACGTATCGCATTGTCTAGTGTCTGACTCTAATACCATTCGCAACAGTAAAAGCTCAATGCTAGTATATATTGTTCGTTTTTGCCCATTACGTATCACACCGTCTATATCTAGCTCTAACAACATCTGTAACAGCTCAAGCCCACCACTAGTAAATATTATCCGCTTTGACCCATTACCAATCTCCATCAACTTCCAAGTTTCAAAACGTGTCTACTAGGAAAAAGGTTTTCACACTCTTATAGAGTATGTTTTGTTCCTCTCCCGAACATACGAGAGATCTAATATTAATCATGATAAGATTTGAGTTTTAGTTTCCATAAATTATTGGAAGTTATAATCTTTGTTGCTAATGATGGGAGAAAAAATTAAGAAAATTATGCATGGGTAGGTGGGGTCATAAGATCTCTTAGAACCTCTTCTCTTATCATTGTTTTTCTTCACAAAATCAGAATCTAATCTTTTTTACATTGCTATTTTGGTCCCCTCTCACCCAACCCTCCAAAACAAAAAACAATCCTTAATCTCATCTCTCTTAACCCTTAATTACCATCTTAATCACCCATTAACTCAACAATTAGGATTAAAACAATGATTTGGGTCTTAATCTAAAGAACATAAATTTGATTAAGAAAGTGATTAAAACATAATTGAATAACTAGAAAATAAAATATGGGGAAAAGAGATTGGGAAACTAATTAAATAATGAGTAGTTGAGGGGGCAGAAAGCAAAATATAGAAGATTTTGATTTTTGGGGAAGAGCCCCTTTTAGCTAATAACATTAAAAAGATAACACACCCACTCCCTTCTTCAACCACCAGATTCGATCTCTCTCTCTCTCTGGATCTTAAAAATATATTTCAGTGTTAGACATAGAATTCAATGATTGTTTATTTTTAATTATTTAAAAAAGGAAACTTTTTTTGCTATAAATAGAGGTGCCCTTCTTAAGGGATACAATCAACAGTTTTCGCTTCAGTTTCTTAAAGTTCTCAAAGAGGGAAAGAACACAGTATTTTCTCTGTAATTTTTGTTCTTTCTTTCCCTTTGAGCTTCAAGTTTCTATCAATGGCGATTGAAATTGAGT